GCACGCACGCACACATACGCACACGCACGCACACACACACACACACACACGGTTGCTTACCCATGTAACACCTTCCTGAGGAGTGATCGAGCAGACACGGGCACGGCTTGCACTCCTTCGTGGCATACGGCGAATAGTGATAGGCGGCGCACTTGTTGCAGTGCTGGCCCGTGAAGCCCTCCCAGCACCAGCACTGCTTCGTCACATCGTAGCAGAACGTTTGGTTTACAGTGCCCTCAACGTTGCACTTGCAATCTGCACATACGGCAGAGAGAGAGAGAGAGGGGGAGAGCGTGAAACCCCCAGCGAGATATTTACTTGATATTCATTATATATTTAAATTTAGTCGACACATTACACATCGACAGCTGAGGCAGTACGATAAAGCCGTTCGCAGCTTAAGTGTGAAATTATTAAAATTTTAAAATGACTCTTACATGAATGCAGATTGTAGAAATACTAGCACAAAATCAAGCAGAAAAAGCACATAATAACAGTGACAAGCATTAGAAGACAATGAAGAAGTATATAACAAAATAACACACGGGAAGCAGTACATAAAATAACCTTAAACAGTACAACTACAAGACAAAACAACACACGGACAAGCAGTAAAAAACAAAACTATACCTGAACAAGCAGTACCTACAATAACATAATGCAGCACATGACAAAATAACACAAGGACAAGAAGTACAAGACAAAATAACATGTGGAAAAGCAGCAAAATACAAAATAACACACTGACAAGTAGTACAAGACAATAAAGAAGCACAGAAGAAAAGCACAGAAAATCAGTACAAGACAATTAAGAAGAAACGAACACAATAAGATAAAGGAGGCTGAGCGAGGGACAGGAGAGGCAAGGGGAAGGACGCGAGGACATAAAGTAGGTGGTTTGTACCCTACATGCTAGGGCGCTCTCCTAATTATAAACACAGATGTACTGATAAAAGTTTATTAGGGAAATCTATGCGGAGATCCCCCCTAACCATTTTAAATGCATATTCATCACAAAATATAACTCTTCTGGTGAGATATTGCGCATGCGCTAACACACTAACATAGTCAGATTGTGTACTGGCTGGTATACGCAGCGGGGACATTACATGCAAGTTCTTCCTCCTATTTCTTAAATGATGTCTATTGATGGAATCAGGAGTAGATAATAGGGACCCTATCGTCTAGGGACCTATAGGGACCTATAGGGACCTATAGTCACCATAGGGTATTAGCATGTAGGCCTACTAGAAACACGATTACATATACGACTACGTAAGTGTATGTTCGCTTACACACGAGTAAAAATATCATTATGAAGTGAAGAGAAACAATGGTACGATTAAGTTAACGCTCACCTGCAAAGCACACGCCCCCTCCCCTGTTAGCAAGAGCCAGATAACTAATACAGTGTGTACCCTTCAATCTACACGACGAATAGGAGTCAATGCCTATCATAACCACCGTACCAGTCCAGTAGTGCTCTCGCCCTTAGGGACCAAACACCACAACGTAAATAAGACTGTCATTCTTCACGTGTATTTACTTATGCTTGGTAGTTACCTAGGTACTTATTTTATTTACAAATATCTTTTTCGTAACGTTTGTGTAGACAGGTAGAACTGTTTCACCAGTGCACAGAAGCCTGCCATCATTTTGTGTGCAGGCATAGTTTGCTGAATAACGACGACTAAGCGTGGACCTAAAATTTTTAACATTTTATACATGTACTGTATTCAGTATAGTACTGATACGTACTGAGATGATACTGATATTGATACAAATATGAATTGGCACATCCATGGACATTCCAGCAAATTAGTCGTCAGTGTGTAGTAATGCCTCTAAAGTAATTTCTGCCAGTTTATCTCAGCTACACCTTGACTCATCCACTATCCTCGTCACGGCCCCCGGTCAATTATAATCGATTGCAATTGCAATCACATATAATTCCTACCTACAGTTGATCAGTGGCTCTTTTCGTGTACATTGACTTTTAGTTCTACCCACGCAGCTTTTCACTCTGGTTCGCCTATGTGGTGGAGCAAAAGACTACATGGGTAGAGCTACTTGACCTTGGATACTATACCACAGGTCATTTCACTGTATTTACACTGCATCCTGTTTACTGCCCATGTCCCATGATTAGCAGGCATGAGGTGAAGTTCAGTGTGACTATGACCGATATTTCACTATTTGCCGCACAGCGCAGCTTGTGAGGTGTTGCACCGAGCCGCCCCACGTTTCTGCTGTTCAGACGAAGGCTGTTCAGGTACCTCCACGATGCCGTCGCTTCCCAACATGTCTACCATCGACACGAAGCTTGTGGTAGTCGGAGTAGCGGCAACGGCTGCCGTTGGCATAGCAACGTACGCGTTATACTTACGGAGACAGAGGCGAAAGATGTTGGCAGGCCTGAAGGCAATAGATTTTGGCGGTCAAAATTGGTATGAAGCTCCAGGCACAAGTAAGTACGTAAGCTGAACGTAACGCTGCCAATCT